AAACAGTAAAGTTGTGAAAACATGCTTGGTTATGGGTTCCTTAGTCTGTTGGTAGAGCGTCCAACCACACACGTGCTATCAGTCACTTTGCAGCTTTTTGCTAGCAGAGAGAATTGACAATTATTTTTCTCTCTGATGTGACACGTGGTCTTAAAGAGTCTGTCAAAAAACATTTTTCTTCATTTTCCAACTATCAGCCTGTCAACTATATTCCTTTTATTATAATTTGTTTCATTTATGTAGCGCCAATTCACAAAAAACAGTCAGTTCGAGGTGCTTAACGTTGTTTGGATCGTACAATATTAGAAAGAAACCCTAATAATCACATGACTCCAGATGAGCAAGCACTTGGTGACAGTGGGAAGGAAAAACTCCCTTTTGACAGGAAGAAAGAAACCTTGGTTAACTTGCTAACTGTTGTTAAACATTGCACAAGTTTAAGGATAGAAAACCACCATTCATTGGTTGGAAACCCTCAAAATCTATTTAAAGTTTGCGAACTTGTAATCGCTTCATTTACATTTGAGATTCGGTGTATATGTCGCTGCGCGATTCAACAAGAGAAACAGAAAAGTTCTCCAAGCCGAGGCTGGAGACAGAAGAGCTCCTGCTACAGTAAAGCCGGCGTGCGACAGTCGCTGTGCGGCCGCCGCTCTGCTTCGTGCCAACAGATACTTAAACAAAACAACACATTGAGCGCGTGCCAGGAAGCTATATTATTATCTTCATCCGAACTAATTGCCAGGCCAAACAGCGACACATATGCACACGCAGGCTTCAACAACCACTCATCATTAGGGACTGTGGTGTGCCATCCACGTTGTCATGACAACAAGGCAGTGAATTTTGGCTTGGAAGCCGTCACACTAAGAGAGATTTCTCTGGTTCTGACTGTTTGATGAGGGTTTGTGGGGATGAGAAAGGCCTCGTTTACCTTGAAGGACTCTCTTTGTGTTGCCCTTTGCACTCTTCCTTTTACGAGCGCGTCTCATATTTGCGATCAGCTGTCGAGCGCTAACGGCCCATCAGCGTAGGTGACGTGATCCTCACAGGACTGTAAACAAGCGTCCCCCCGTCAGCGCCGCACGTCCTCTGTAGGTCTTTTTATCTTTAAGACCACTGGGCCTGTGTTTGAGAGCGAGTGTGCTTTGCAAGCATGTGTGTCTATTTCTGTGTGTGTGTGTGGGTGTGCCGTCAGCTAGCAGGAATGCATGGGTACCGCCAAAGCTAAGATGGCTGCCAAGCGCTAAGATGGCTGCCAGGATTCCACAGAGCGACAGCGCGCAAGAGAGAAAGAGAATCAGAGACAAAACCGATGTGAGCGGAGGGAGAAAGACCTGAAGATGGACTCTGTGCAGGATGAAGGACGAGCGAGGAGGAAAGAAAGTCTTCCTCGTGTTTCCCTCTCCCCAGAGCGACGAGGTGCTTCTGGGTTTCTTTTTGTTTTCCTGGTTTTGGCACGCGGCGCACAGGGTGAAGAGTGCGCCGGTCTGCTGGCACGTAACGCAACACTGCCACCCAAGATTAGGGCACTGATTTGGGTTTAGAGGATGTTGAGATTGGGGGGCCTAGTGGCTGCAAGGGGCCACGTTTTGGAGTCTCGGCCCACGACGCCCTTAAAGGCTGAGTGCTCTGGAGTAATTGGCCTGAATGGTGTATATGATACAACCATAAAACTCCACAAGGGTGCGTTACACATCTGAAGAAGAATGGCCGCCAGCGAGCCAAAGAAAAGCAGCTGAAGCAGACGACTCTCTGACTTCCTGTCCCTGTAGGTGGAAGCAGATCCAAACAGAGTGTGCATGTTACTGGTCAGTGTGGAGGTGACACATCTGTCATCTGTGTGTGCACATGTAAACATTCAAGCGCCAAAAAGTGAGGTACACAAAGAGAAGTTTTTTAAGGTGAACACAAACAGGTGATTCAACTCCAAATGATGCATTTCTAAAAGTTTAGTGAGCATTCGCACTCTGCCGAACATGAAGGGTGAGTTTGAGTAATTCCAAGAAACAAAGATGAAAAAACAGTTGAGTTATACACACTTGAGAGCAAAACCCAGAACACAGGAACGCACACATTCGGTTTGTTTTCTTAGGACCACTTGAGCCAGTTTACACTGTGTTGAGATTCTATATTTTAGGCAAGTTTATTTGTATAGCACAATTCAACAGCAAGGTGATTTAAAGTGCTTTACAGAGACATTAGAAACAAAAACAATGATTTTAAATTGATTAAAACAAGCAAACTACCAAACAAACAAACAAAAAACAGTAGATAAAATCAAAACAGATAAAATCAGTAGTTAAAATATAAGTTTTGAAATTTAAGCTTAAGTGTGGATTTGGTGCTTTATTCAAATGCAGCTGAGAACAGGTGAGTCTTCAACCTGGATTTAAATAAACTGAGTGTTTCAGCTGATCTGAGGCTTTCTGGGAGTTTGTTCCAGATATAAGGAGCATAAAAGCTGAATGCGGCTTCTCCGTGTCTGGTTCTGACTCTGGGAACTGATAAAAGACCGGATCCAGATGACCTGAGGGATCTGGAAGGTTCATACTGGGTCAGGAGGTCACTGATGTATGTTGGTCCTGAACCATTCAGAGCTTTATAGACCAGCATCAGAACTTTAAAGTCTATCCTCTGACGGACAGGCAGCCAGTGTAAAGACCTCAGAGCTGGACTGATGTGGTCCACTTTTAGAAGTTCTTTCAAACAATGGCAAAGACGGTGCACCAATACCCAGAAATCACCACTGAGTTTATTGTTGGCATTAACAAATGTTTTGGGGGATTTGTAGCACTTTACCGAACTAAGGCTGTAAGTACGATAATGACCAGATAAGAATCGACTAACGGTGCTCTGAGCCTCGACCTGAGTGGAAATATGTGCCTTTTTTAATCTCAGCACGTCTGTTGTCAGTGAAAAGAGTTTACCACACCTCTGTTCTCTACCTGCCCCCTCACCTTGGTCAGACATCTGTCCACCTGACTCACCATCTTCCTTTCTCTCTCTTCAGAACAATCAGGACAATCAGACAACTCAAACCAGCAAGGAGACACAGATGTGAAGCCCCCACCAAACGGTAAGTTTACAAGTGCACGCTCCATTAATCTCACTCTGTGTCCTCATAGGCGTGCATTTATTAAAACAACATACCTGTGCCTGCACGCAGTCACACCTACACAGCCACGCATGCATGTGCATTAGCCCTGCACGCGGCCTCTGTGCCTGTGCAAGTGTGTCCCAGCAGAGTTGGATCTGAGTTTATTATGGTAAGGAGAGCTGATGGTGCTGTAGCGTGGGGGCTGTGCTGGGTTTGTGGCAGGCCGCTCATAAATCACACTGACGTTATTGGAAGATGGGAACCACATGGCCGCTGCCGAAGCTGAGCGCTGACCTCATGCGCTCTCCCCGCTGTGGTTAACCCCGGGCAGGGCTGGAGTGAAGGAGCGAGAGAAGAAGAAATAAGGGGGGCTGAAGAGAACTGAGTGAAGGAATGAGAGGCGAAGGGAGAAGGCGTGGGGGGGAGTGATGGACAGAGGGAAGGGGGGGAGAAGGGTGTGGATTTAAAATTGATTCGGCCATAAAGCGATCTGCTTTACACACAGCGTAATGCCGACATGGACGATATAGAGTTGCATACTTAAACTTTACTTGAGGAACAAAAGTTCAGAATGCAGCACATTTAATTTATTTGTACCATTTTCACCTGTGCGGTGTGTTTGAATCGTTCTCAGCAGCTGGGCTGTGTGGACAGTTCGCTTACCTCACTGTTTACATTCAGTTTAAATAGAATAAGAGTCAAAGATCAGGTGAGTTCAGTAAGCTTTATAAAGCTCCTTATGTGAAAACAAGGTTCTTACCTGTTGTCAGCAGAGATGGGC